AGTGGAATTATTTTGATTTTCGCGATGAAATAATTTATTTTGATCCCATTAGTGAAAAGTTCCACATATACGCTTCACCCCGTAAAAGAATTTTGAAACCCACTCCACCCCACCCACCCCTCTACTCCCAACCCCTTCCTTTTTAGTCTTATCAAAAGCACACTCACTCTTCCTATTCTTCCTTCTCCTTCCCCAAAACCCTAAAATGGAACATCCATTCTTCATCAATGGCCCTCCTACAAATCGATCTGAAGCTTTACGATGGCTATCAATCGCCGAAAAGCTCCTTACAAATCGTGATCTTGTTGGTAGCAAATCATTTGCAACTCGTGCCCGTGAATCCGACCCGTCTTTAGCTCACCCAATCGATCAAATCCTCAGCATCGTCGACACCTTAACTGCTGGCGACAAACGTATCAACAATCATCACTTTGATTACTACTCTATCCTCCAGATCCCTCCTAACCAAACCCAGAACTTCGAATTCATCGCCGATCAGTATCGTCGATTTGCTCTTCTGTTGAATCCTCAGAACAACAACTTTCCATTTTCGGATCAAGCTTTTGGACTTGTTGTTGATGCGTTTTCAGTTCTTTCTGATCCCTTGAGGAAAAGTATGTATGATAAAGAATTGGGTTTTTTTCTGAATCTTTACCCAGTTGCTTCTGCGCCTACACCGGTGAGCTTTGTGCAGCATGGTGGGTTTAATCAAATGCCGGGGTCGACTGCTGACCAGCTGTTTGTGAATATGCCTAGTCAAGATCAAGGTTCACATGCCACTGGAGTAAGCTATAGTAGAGATCCGCAAGCTGGAATTTCTATGCCGGTTACATTTCTGAATCGTGAGCAAGAGACTATGACTATGGGGAGCTCAGGTTCGGAGCAAGAGCACCAGCAGCAACAGCAGCAGCAACAACAACCTGTAACATCTCTGAGACAACAGACACAACAACCGGTGAGTTCTCTTTCGTTTTCAAACATAGATGAACAGCCTGCTACATTCTTGAATTTAAACCAACCACAGCCTGTAACTTCTGAGAGGAGCTTTAATAGAGAAAATCCACCATTTGGTATTGGGTTGAGCTCGACGAGAGGGCGAGAACCGGAGGTTACTGTTGAGCAGCATGGGAATCAACAGCCCCTAGAAAGAAATGAGAATGTAGTGGTGGGGAGCAATGAAAATAGACCTGCTAGTACTAGTAATAATGCGAGTAATGTGAAGGAGAAAGAAAGTAGAGTAGATGCATCAGCTAAGAAGATACCCAGTTTCTGGACAGCATGTCCTTATTGTTATGTTATGCACGAGTACCCTTTGGATTATGTTGATTGTACACTGAAGTGTCAAAATTGTAAGAGGGCTTTTCAAGCTGTTAAGGTTGCTGCTCCGCCGATTATTGATGGAAAAGAAGCTTATTTCTGTTGCTGGGGATTTATGCCTTTAGGATTTTCCGTGGAGCATTTTGAGAGAAGTAGAAATAATGTTTCAAGCTGGTCTCCGTTTTCGCCCATGTTTACTTGTCCAACCTCTGGGGCGAATGAAGGGAGGAATGCTAAGAATCATGCTGTTGGGGGGCAGAGTAATGTGAGTACTTTTGGTAATTTGCATAATGCCGGTGGATCAAGAAGTCGGAGTGGACGAAAGCTTTCTGCTCCAAGGATTTACAGTGATGATGATGATGACGACGATGATGATGATGACGTACTTGTTGACATATCAGAGGTACTTTCTGGAGATGCTTGACATATTGGAGGTACTTTCTGGAGATGCTTGACATATCGGAGGTCCTTTCTTAGAGATACTACTCCAAGGTAGAGAAAGGTAAATTCTTGAAGAAGTTCGGTAATAGGTGAAGAAGGAAAGAGATTCAAGCCTTTCATTTCACTCCAAAACTTGAATCTTTCCATTATTTTCTTTGATTATCATGTTCATATCTAGTCTAGTTGGTTTAGATACTCTGCTTCAAGTCCCAACAATGGGATACCTTTTTCCTGTTCTGAGATGCGACTTTCTTAGGCCGAGGGTCTATTAGAAACAACCTCTCAACTGCACAAAGGTAGGGTAAGGTCTGCGTATACCCACCCTCCCCAGACCCCACTTATGGGACCTATACTGGGTATGTTGTTGTATTGTATTGATGTTTTGCTATCTTCTCTTGGCTTTAGTAATTCTCTTATGAAGTAAACTTTGTAATTGAGGAGTAGATGAAACTAATCTGTAACTTATTTTGTTAGCTCAATACAATTTGCTTCGGAGATGATTGTTCTCTTACTTTTCCTAGTTTTCGTTCATTCAATTGTCACTGAATATTGGCTTGACCAAGCATTTTCATTGTGATTGAGCAAAGAAATATTAGTTGATCTGAGAGAAATGGATTGTGTTACCTTCAAATTAGCACCAGATAACCATAGGAATTTAACTGAAAGAGGAGCACTTTAGTTAGTTGTACTGGGTTAAGCCAACATTACCATAAGTAGTAACTTTGAGGCTTAAAGCAAGTGTTTTACTTGCATTGGGTTAAGCCGACATTACCATATGGTGGTTTTGATACCTTTGCTGTGGGGTTTTCAACGGGGAATTATGACAGGCCAGAGAGTATGTATTTTGGGGAGGACTATTCACCTGGCTGTAAAAGAAGTTACAAGGTTATGGATATATCAGTCTTGTTATATGATACTACCATTAGTATCGCTCCTCTAGGTTCTGATTGAAGTAGTGGCTGCTACAATCGTAAAGTTGCTACTCCTTGCAATTTGTAATTCGATGAAGATGTGCACTTAGTTTGGCCTCTTCAGTTCAATACTCTTCCAATAATGGAAACGTACAACTTTTCCTTTCAATCAGAAGGAGTTGCCTCAAATGGTGGCGGGGCTTAGGTATTCAATAAGAGTTACTTGAAGGGCCTTTGAAAGTTTTACCCTGGGGTGGTGGAATATTTGTAAACTCTTTTCACTTCATGAATTTACCTTTGTCAGTTCTCTGCTTGTTTCAGGACAAATGGAAACTTTATTGACACACTAAGGACTCGTTTATCAAAATTTACTGATGTTAAGGTACTTTTTCTTGTGTGTGCAATATGTTGGTAGGTTTCATTCTGTGAAACTGTACTGGATTTAGGTCGATTCTTAGTAGTTTAGTTGTTTTACCACTTGGGTATCTTGAACATTTTTTTGGCGGATTGCTTCTATAATTCTATTGAACGTTGTTTTTCTGTTGAGAATTCTATTGTTCGGGGTAGCTTGAACTTCTTAACAGCATTTCCCCATTTTCCCATTCATTCACCTGAGCCATTGTTAGCCTGCTCTTCATCTTTCTTTGTTATGGCAACACCTTCTCTTGTGGAACCCCTATGTATTATACTGTTTGTTTTATGTTCTTTAGAACCACCAAATGAGAAGAGAAGGGGAAAGAGGTTTTAGATAAATTTAATACAACAAGTTATATTTGGTAGAAATAGCATTCATTAACTAATTTTGTCCCTGTTTTTGAAAAAATAGCTGAGTTGAGTGTTTTACTTGTAGAATTTGAAACTCTGTTATTTGAAGACTAAATCTAATATTCCTCCACTGAAAACATCAAGGGACATGGGAGATCCAAGGGGATTGGATTTGTAGCCAAAAAACCTCGACAGAGAAAACAAGAGCTGGAAAAAAGAGGGATTTTATTGATAAAATGAATAAATCAATATATATGATTGGGTAACATCAAATAAAGGGCAGTTTTCACATATAACCACTCAAAAATAACTTAATTATGCTCCATAGCTATAGTTTGCTACTTACGATTCGTAGCTACATGTTGGAGGGAGGTGAGAGGCGAGCGAGATTGGGAGAGGGAGGAGATAGGCGAACGAGAGAGGGCAAAAAGTGGAGAGACTAATTATATTTGTATATCTATCATATAATTTGTATTTATATCTGTATAATAGAGGACATGCGACGTAATTATTTTTTAAAATTAAACTGTAAATCGTAATTAATTCAAAGTTATGTTAGCCAATTAACTAGTATTTTGCTTATCCGCGTAATAAGCCTAAGACATTAATAGAGGCCTCAAGCTGAGCTAGTTCAGCTCTATTGGGCTTTCTATGTTGAGTCTTGGGTTATTTCTCACACCTACTGTATAGAGCCATCCATGGTAGACATTTAATCTCACATTTTGATTAGATTGTACAAAACCAAAAAAAATAATCTTAAAAAATGGATATACACATGGAGCCATGTAGGCGCCACGTGGACTAATAAAAATGGTGACATGATAAGTTAACTATATAAGGGCAAATATGTACCCAAAGTTGGATGGTAAGGACAAATATAACAAAAAAGTATGACGAAAGGGAAATATGACCCTTTTCTAAGAGTACAAGGGCAAATATGACCCTTTTCCATAGATAAATCATATTGAATAGGTGACATACTACTTCAATAATATTTAGTTAATTATTTATGATTTGTGTTGAATATATCCTCTTTAATAGATAATCATATAGGGTAGGTGGCATATTACTTCAAAAATATTTAATTATTTTAATTTGTGTTGAATAAGTTCAAATAAAAAAAGTAAAATACTTCTTATCTAAATCGCCACGATGACACAACTATTATTATTAGCCATCTCCACCTACCGCGATTATCATTATTCATCACATCACAGTTATATCTGACTATTATTACCAACTACTCTCGATATTAAGTTGTAGACTAATTATACTTCATCAAATGAATAAATTTTGAAGTACAATATAAATTACTATTTTGTTTAAAATTTATATGTATTACTTTTATATGAAATAAATTATGCACATTTAGATACTGAAAGAATACATAACCTCTTAATTATTCAATATACAGATTTAAAAATAATATTTTAATTATAAATATTTATATTCAAATTCAAATGTGTTAATTGTCAATGACGTGTAGTAGTGTTCTCTAAGATTTTCAAAATAAAAAAAAATGAATAACTTGTGTGGTTGTGAGACATTTTAATTGTCAAAGATGGCCAAACTTTGCTAAGGCTCTCTTGAATAAAGCTTATAAATACTACTCTTGGTGGTAGATTAAAATGTCATCTACATTATTTGTACTATTTATTTCTCAACTTTGAAAGTATAATTAACAAGAATTATTACCATGGCACAAAAACTTGTTATCCTTTTCACCACTCTTCTTGTTGTTATGGCTGGTAAGTCATTTCATCTTCTTGTTATGGTAATTGAATAGTAGCTACTATCATGAAGTTTCAAATTTTACAGGCGCAACTTCAAACTTCATGGTATTGAATTTTTCTTATGAAATTTAAAATTCCATGATAACAGTTATTTTTAAATTATATCTTTTAAAGATGCACCTTTCTTCTTTCTTTGTTAAAGTTATTCGAGATAGACGTTCAATTTCACATAATACTAACATCCATATGATATGTCATCTCACCACCCGACCCCAATCCATTTTACCCCCTCCTCTCCCTTCCATGCCTCCCCCCCCCCTCCCCCCTCGGGCCATTTAAGAGTCAATTTAAAATTTATGATTTAAAACAAGTCAAATATATTTGTCTAGTTATAACTAGTTTTTACTAAGAACAAAATAATTTTTTTAAAGTTAAATATCTCGAATACGTTATGCTTATAAAATATTATAATTTTGAATTTTGTAGCTCATAATTCATTTTACTCCACCAAAATTCATGTGATGGCCCAAGAAGATATACAACAAATTACAACAAAATTATTTCAAGAAGATCAAGATCCAATTTGTGGAAAACCATGTAATACACATGATGATTGCTCTGATGCTTGGCTTTGTCAAGCGTGTTGGAATTTCAGAAAAACGTGTGGTCCATTTGTTGGCTAATTAAGACATGATCATGGGCCTATAATTTCAACATTTAGTCACTTAATTAGATAAATAAATAACTTAAGTGACCAAAGTGTACTTGTTCAAAGAAAAAATTATGTGGCTAAGAAATAAACTTTGAGTATAATGTGTTATTTATCAATTAAATAAAAGATCATGTGATTATGTGGCATGCAATATGTGCTTATAACCCTTAAAATTAATTAAGCAAATTAAAAAAGCAATTTTCACATATAGCAAACATAAAAATCATATTTGTATGTTATAGCTATAGTTTGTATAATTGCGCTCCATAGCAAATTTTATGTTTGCTATTGAGCTTTTGATTTGTATAATTCATTACAAACATCCAATTTTATACAAATTGTTCAGTTTTGTATAAATTCATTCATACATTGTAATTTGTATAATAAGATCTATATTTGTATAATTATAAGTGTATAGAACGAAAATATATGTATTTGTATTTGTATTTGTATATACACTTTTATCTCACTTTATACAAACACGAACGCATTTTATACCGAAATATATAAAATGACTAGTTGTATACCGAAAATGGCTAATTGTATACCGAATCAGATGGCAAAAAAGGGGATGTTTGCTGCGAATTACAATTAAAATAAACTATGGCTATAACATTTAATTTGAATTAATAATTTGCTATTTCATGCAATTTTTTCAATTAAAAAAAATGGATTAGTTGATCTGAGAGAAATGGATTGTGTTACCTTCAAAGCATTTCCCCACTTTCAAATCTGCACTCCCTATTTTTGATGCAATGATTTCACCTGTGAGCCATTGTGTCGTGAAATAGTTGAACTACACGACATTTAGCCTTGTCTTCTTTCTTTATGGCCATACCTTGTCTTGTGGAACCTGTGTGTGTATAATACACGCCATTTTTTGTATTGAACTTTATGAATGCATACTGTTTGTTTTAAGTTCTTTAGAACACCATATGTGAAGACAAGGGTAAAGAGGTTTAGATATAAGTTAAATACAATGAAGGTAGAAATATCGTTCATTAACTAATTTTACCCCTGTTTTTTTGAAAAAATAGCTCAGTCACATGACCTTGAGTGTTTTACTCGTAGAATTTGAAACTTGTTATTTTCCAATTATGAAGACTAAATTAATACGACACTAATTACGATTTGTAGCTACATGTTGGAAGGAGGAGAGAGGGCAGAGAGATGAACTGTATATGTCACATAATTGTATATATGTAATTGATCTACATATGTATTTGTTTATCTCGTGAGCGAGTTTGAGAGAAGGAAATGATAGGCGAACGTATATATATATGTGTGTGTGTGTGTAATTCATATTGGAAACTGTATAAAAGAGGACATGCAACGTAATTACAACTATAATTAAACTGCAAGCCATAGTTAATTTAAACTATAGTTATGTTAGCTTATTAACTAGTATTATACTGCATAATAGGCCCAAGACATACCTAGAGGCCTCAGCTGAGCTAGTTCAGCTCTATTGGGCTTTCTATGTTGAGTGTTGGGTTGTTTCTCACACCTACTGTATCGTTGTGGACAGTGGCGGATCCAGGATTTAGAGTCTGGGGGTGCCAAATAAACTTATCGATTAAATTAATTTTATATTTGATTAAATTATTTGCCTTTCCGATATATATCATAAATCAATCAATAAAATATAAATAATAAGATATTACAAATCCACACTCCACACTAAAAGCATGAAGTTAACAAATTTAAAACTTTCAATAATATTACTATTTACTAATATTATAAATATTCAACATTCATTTACAATTGTCCTCGACGAGTTTTCATATTCTGAAAACGATCGATAATGACATCATTACTAACATTTATAAATACATCACGCTCTATGTAACACACTAGACAATCATTTAAATATTGATTACCAATACTATTCCGCACCATTTTTTATGTGCTTCATTGACGAAAATGCTCTCTCCACAGTTGCCGTAGCAACAGGTAAAATCAAAGTCAACTTTACAAGTAAATAAATAAGTGAATAAGTCTCCGCGAGATTTGCTTCAACCAATGCCTTCGCCAAATCATGAATTCCTTGCAAGTTGGAGAACTTGGGATTACCACTTCGCATATGAATAATGAAAGTATCGAGTTGATAGCTCAAATCTCTAATTTTTCCATCATCAAACTCACTTGGATAACACTTTGCTAAAGTCATGATTTTACCTTTGTCAAAATTAGAGAAAGAATTGACCGGATTCAAGCTACCCATCCCAAGAAGCAAATCACTACTCAC